GCCCGCCCCCAAATATTTTAAAAGAAAATATAAATGCTCGAGTTAGGATCACCAATTTTTGCTGGGGCCCCCGACCCCCCCCCAATATAGGGGGGGGGGGGGGGGGGGCGGCGTCTTCCTCCAAATCAAACACAGACTACAGGAGCACACAGAGCGACGCACGAGTTGACGCAGTTCACCGAGCCATATTTACCTCGGGTTGCTAGGCGATGGACACATAGTGGGACCATGAGGGATCGGGGACAGAGGAAAGAGACAACAAACAAAAATAAAAAAAATAAACAAAACGACCAAACAAATGGGAACAAACCGATGAGAGGACACGCAAATGAAACATCAAACTTTAAGAGGCTACGGAATGATTGGCTAGTGGAGGAACATTTCGCTGATTCGCAACTCTTTAACACGTGACAGAGGGCCTTCTCAATGATGATGCCATTGTGGCAGCAACGTGACTTGTAATGAGGTTTGTTCTAAGACGTCAGCCGAGAAGCAAAATGTTCCTTTTTAAAAAGTAAATCAAGGGGGGTGCGTATGAGTAAGATTGCTTCAGCATCGTCTAGCGACTGTGATGACCGATAATTGCCAAACAGAATTGTTTAGGAAAGCGTTAAGTAATTTGGTGTTTTTTGGGGGGGGTTAAATAAGTAAAACGTGAATATGGGGTGTAATTAAAGTGGCTGGTGTAAAACGTGACGTTTAGGCAGTAACATAAACATAATGTCGACAACGTTCGTTACGATAACGCGGTTAGAGCCTCTTACCTGGCCACTGACTGGATGACTTTAGAGGAAGTGTCCTTTATGTTGGTCAGGAAGCGCTCCGTTCCTCCCCTTAAGATGTCCAAGATCCCGCTGCCGGCCTGATCGGGGTCGTATGTGCCTGCGGGCATCGTGGGGGGAGAAAGAGAGAATGCTGAAGTGATAGATCAAAGCACAAAGGTTGTTTTTGTCCCCTTCCCAGGGTGCACGCTGTGACTTGCATACAGATGTTTAACAGCAACAGGCAGCAGTTCAACAAAACGTTTGTTAACTCTCAGGTGAACGTGTGAAATTGCTGCCAGATGTTGATACACAACGACAGGCAGGCGACTCAACATGAGTGCACTGCTCGGATCTGAATGTACGGATGGATTGGAGGACTGGAGCTGGGGGGGGTGGGGGGGGGGGGACAAATTTGGCCATTCAACAGATGGCTGAGCGGCCGTGCAGGAAGCCTCTTAATGTGCAGTCGAGCACTCAACCTGCATCAAAAGAAGCCTATTTTACCCATTTAGATAGAAAAAAAAAGGAGACATATTATTTTTCATTTCTCACAGGTTACCTTAAGCTTGTGCCCTTAGTTGTTATCCAGATTATGGAGCTCGCATGACGTTCTTTAATCCTTAATTGTGTGTTGGGAATCACCGCCGGTCGCCACAATTACCAACACGCACTGACCTACTGACTGTGGGTCACGACCCCACTCGGTCTTAGGAGGAGGAACTTTAACTAACCAGCTTACTTAGCAACATGTGCAACACCCAGAGATACGGCTGAAGCCTGGAGTGTGTGTCTGTGTGTGTGTGGTAGAATCTTTCGATTTCACCTTTACAAATAGGGCTCTATTTTCATGGAGCGTTCAACTTCCCTCAAGTGTGAGCCCTCGAAACCAAAACCAGGACACAGTCCCGAACCCGGCGAGACATTTACCTGAGTTGTTCTGCGCGTTGTGGATCTGCGTGGGCGGCTGGGCTCCGTTGTTGCCGAAACCTCCGTTCTGCTCCAGCAGCTGCAGACATTCATAGCCGTCATACACGGGCCGCCATCCGTAGTACGCACCCAACATTCTAACCGGTGGCTCGACAACAAAGGAAGGATGCAAAATGCAAAATCCCCAAAAAGAACCAGAGCACGTTACTGGTTCCTAAAAGCTCGCGCAGAATAAACTCAGCGTTAAAGCAGCAGACGGACTGTGCGTCTCGCGTTTCCTTCACGGGGCTTCTGCTCTTCCTCCTCTCTGCTCCATCTCGCAGTTTGCCTCGCCATACGTCCGTGCTGCCAAGCAGCAGAGAGGAGGAGGAGGAGGAGGAGAACGTGGAGGTTTATAATCTCCTTATGTCCAGCGGGGAAACGCCTTCTTAACCCTAATTAGATTAGCGAGCGCCAAATCTGGCTTTACTGTCAACACATTTACCACCGGGATTCCTGCTGGTCAGAAAGGAAGTACAGCGATGGTGACAGAGGAAGCGAGTGTCTGCAGTTTACTAAAGCAAAAGCTGATTTTACCTTCAATGGCTACTAGTGTGTGATTCCCAAAAGAGACCAAAACCCCACTAAAAGTGCTGTGGGTATTCATAGTTTCATAGAGATAACTATGATTGGGAATACATTCACCTCCTTCGCTATATAATCAGCCACGTGTACATCATACACCAGAAAGCGATCACTATCGCCGTACGCTTTGACATCAAAATACGCTTTTAATACTGTTAAACCACAACTGTGCCTGCGGATTTGGCGTTAAGTACCCGGATTTTGTTAAATCGGATTATACTGAATCAGCTACTGTGGGTGCTAGAAAAAAAAAAGAAAAGGCGTTTGGCCCCCCACAGTCACAACGCCATCAGAAATACTGACGTGTTGCCGTCACTTTGCGCTTCTTTGTAAATTTCGGTTACGCCTATTTTCCCCGTCTGTGTCTCTTTGGGTCGGGCCAGCTGGGGAGAGCAGCCTGGACTCCTTTGAGCCCGCCGCTGTGCGCGTTTGAGAGTGCGAGCGTGCTCACACACTGTGCAAACTCCCGCGGGGTCGGCCTGTCAATTACAACTCAATGGTGATGTAGCATTTTAGTGCAGTCTAACTGCTTAAACAGCACTGAACTCCCTCAGGAACACACCCACCTCGGTAATGGGGGACTTGGGGTTGACGTTGCGTGCGGCTGCTATCTCCTGGAGCTGGTTGACCAACTCTGTAATGGACAGACGCTCCTCTGGGTTCACTTTCAACATGGAACCTGGACGGGAGGAGGAGATTAGTGGAAAAAACCCCAAAATGTTAGAATTCAAAAGTGAATTATAATCTATATTTTAGTACCACTGTTTGCAGCAGATTCAACCCGTCCACCAGGGGGAGCTGTTTGATATAACTGGATTAGCTTTAACAAGGTACAAGTGAAGCTGCCAGTACTCATTCACTTGACACCGGTCTATACGAACGTCATGTTTACGGGTGCGATCCCAAACTGTGACTAGTGGGCATGAGGAGTAGCGCGTGCGTAGGACAGGCAGAAACGAGGAGGCACAGACCGACGGTACGTACGGATGAGGTTGTGGTACACGGTGTACTTGACGTCGTTCTGAGGGATGGAGTATTTTCCGTTGACGATTTGCAGCTTGGCCCCGTCCTCGAACGGGTGCTGCTTGAAACACAGCAGGTAGAGGATGCACCCCAGCGCCTGCGTGGACACGGTGAGAACACAAACAAACTCTCAAGCCACCGGGAATGGTGAACAGAAAGGGAAAATGGCGACAGGAGAAAAGGCCGCCTGATTTCTGGAAATGTCACACACACAAAAAAATAAAAATAAAAAAAGGCACAAGATCTCACCCAGATGTCCTGTTTGTCATTGATGGGGAAGTTGGAGTAGAGATCAATCATCTCTGGCGTTCGGTACGCCGGAGTGGTGTTCCTTGTGATCTACATGCGAACAGAACAAAAAACAAGAACGTGGTAAAACCAGAGCAAAGGATCCATGACATCTTGGTCAATTTGGCCTCTAACCTGTCTGAGGCATCAGTTTATCTCACATCAAGAGAACGCTTTGGGGGGGAAAAAGACAGACTGTCGTGTGTTCACATACAGCTAAGCAACATTTATAGAAACAAATGATTTAAATCCAAATACACAACTGCCTCAGATTTTTTCATCATAGAAAACTCTTTCCTCAAGCATCTCTTGTGGTACTGGCCTGAAAACAGGTGCCGAATAGACACACAGATTATTACATTTAGACTCCAGGATCTCTGGGGTCCCGAATACCCGTGTGCATGTGTGTGGTTGTTGTATGAATATGATTAACCTGATTGATCGCTGCTTCCTGGACCTCTAGCTGTTAATTAAATCAAACCATGCTGCTTTCTGTCAGTGCTGTCGCCGACCCGCCGTAAACAACGAAGAAATGACGTACGTTCACATGGAAATCAGAGCAAATATTAAGCACTCCAGGGAAAACTGGCGGTGTTTTTGACAAATCCAAACCATGATTCATGAGGAAAGAACAACGCAGTACGAAGCAACTTCCCGTAGGTTTGGTCCATGCACGTCCAAACTGTATTATAGGTCATCTTAATATCATACAAAGTCTCTGTGCCTGTTTGAGATGATCCTTAAGTGGTGTCTAAGTCAGTGTGTGTGTGTACCTCATCCTCCACCATGGACCTCTTCTGTGCCGACCAGCTGTAGTCGGGGTAATGCGACACGGTGGTGGAGCTGCCAAAGTCACACAGCTTGATGGTGCCCTGGTTACTAATCAAGAGGTTCTCAATCTGCAACATAACAAGTAAGCGGCGGGGCCGGCATGTTAATGTTTCCACAGCGAACTGCCACTTAGTATTCATAACAGCCGCCAATTCACAGTGCCAGCAAACTCTTGATTTTAAACCGCCCGTGCGGCACGTCGTGGATGATTCAGCGTTTGTGACTTCATCCATTCACCCGGCTACCACGGAACAACGGACCTTGAGGTCCCGGTGTATGATCGGGGGCTTCTGCTTGTGCATGTGCTGCACGGCGCGACACGACTGGTAGAAGATTTTCAGCACGGTGTCACACGACAGAAGAGCCCTCTGCTCCACCCGCTTGATGAAGTCCACCAGCTGACCTGAGGGGCAGGAAACACGGAACAGATGAATACAGCAGTCAGAGGGAAAGTAATATCCGCCACGGCGCAGGAGCCTTTTCTCTTTGGCAAGTTGTCGCATAACTTTGGGAGAGTATTGGACAAGGCGGATTAAAGCCTTGAGTCATGCAATACAGATGTTAATCAAATAGAGATACGGTGCTTCACGCACGTCCGAAAAAAATTAATGGTAAGTGTCAGTACATGTTTTTCATGGGTGATTAAGGTAGTTTACAAAACTGGACTATATATAACAAAGTCTGTTGGAACTGAACAGTCAGACTGAACAGAGAGGAAGTAGAAAGGCCGCAGACAGGAAACCCTTTCATCATGTCTTTTCAGAATTACCAGGGAATGGACCCGGCGGGTGCTGGACCCGGTTTGACGCACGAGTTAGCACCGGTCCAAATTGACAGGATGCACAGCGTGCGTGAATGTGAAGTTACCTTTGCACAACTCGGTGAGGATCAAGAACTCGGCCTGCCCGGTGTCAGACTCCTCCTTACTGATGGAGGCAGCCGAGCAGAACTGGACCATGTTGGGGTGACCGGACAGCTTTTTCTATAGAGCAGAGCGGGTCAAGGAACATACGGTTCACAACATAAGAATCTGGTGTGGAGCTTTGCTCAGGCGTTTCACAACCCCCCCCGTCCACTAACCAACCCGCTCGATCACTCATTGATACCGCAAACCTATTTTTCATTCACCTACTGTGCAGCTTGAAGCACAGACCAGCCTCAAAAGGAGCAGGCGACACTACAAAAAAAATCATGGGAATAACGAAGTTCTATGAACGCAAAATGTTGCAATGGTGCCGGGAACACGGTGCGCCTTCACAGCAGATCACAACTGTTGAGCAACGGCGCAGGAGACGTCCCTTTGCTGACCAACAGGCTTCTTTAAAGGTTCCTTCGAGGACTGAGTGATGTCACTGGTTATCAACTTTAACTCCGTGGAATAAATCACTGAAAGAAAGTCTGTGTCTACGCAAAACACACGGTTATTATACGGTTAAACACTGTAAATAGACCCTATTTACACGGTTGCGCATTGTGACAACGTGGAGTGTTGCCAGTAAACTGCTCCGGTAATGGACCACGCCGGAGATGCTCCGCTGTCCCACACAGGGACGGGTTACAGATTAACTTTGTCACATGAGACGCTCTGCTCGGTTAACAGAAATGTCTCCATCGGCGTTGAGAAAGTCGCGGTGAGGAAACGATCGAGGATACCATGAAGCAGACTTCCTGTATGATTTCCTTGTTCTTCTCTTCCTCGTTGGACAGCAGCCTCTGAAACAAACGCACAGAAAGGGACAGTTGGGGGCCGGCATTCAGTGAATGCAGAAATATCTCAAGTGAAGTCAAGTTAGGGAGGAAAGCGGTGATGATGTAAAGCCTGGTACAGCTTATTAATTAAACACAAAATGGCAGTACTGGTGCCCATATTGTGAGCCCAGGTAACGCTCAACTTAAAAGGGAGAAAAGGAAAAAGTGGGTTTTGTGCGTCCCTGGTTTGTTGTTCTATAATCAGGTGATGACGCGTGACTTACCTTGAGGGCATAGTCTTTACCGCTGCTCATGTCCTGGGCTTCATAAACAAAAGCAAAACCACCTGAGAGGAAAGAAAACAGGGCAGCTATGAGGTCAGTGCTCTTGATTGCGGCTAGGTGAATAGCACAAGCACTCAAAAGCTCTCAAATGATACTCGACTGTAATCCGCAACAGTACAATGTTTTCCGTTGATGCCGGCTTGATCAATTATCAATTTTTGGATTCTCTCGGGTTACTTTTGTTGTACTCTAATGTGTTTGTGTGACTGCCTGTGTGTGTGTGTGTGTGTGTGTGTGTGTGTGTGTGTGTGTGTGGTGATAACACTTCATGCATATGTACGGTGTCACTAATGGTAGTTTAGAAACACAACAGCACAAAAAGGCACCAGAAATACAAAAAGGGAACACATCCGATAGCGGACTTTTAACTGGATTAAGTCACTTACGACCCCTCGTGCCAGGTCACATGAGTTGTGAGGGTTTGAGTTAGAACGATTAGATTAAATCCAATGTGAGTGGAGGTGATGCCACACATCCGTCCCACAGGATCATTTAGATGCACCCGATGACTACAGAGAGCAGCAAACCCTCCGGCCACGCTCCGACTCAGGCTGCCCAGTACTACCTCTGGTCTCATCCACCAATGTGGCAACGATGAGACAGGTGATGCACCAGTTTCACGGCAGCCATTTTTTAATGCAGGGAAAACAACGGTGTAATTAAATCACATTAATTGTGGTTGTGTTCCACTAACATGGGACAAGGCCCTGTTATTGCATGGAGGGGCATGTTGGAGAGGTATCAGGGTTAGTTTGGCTTACTAGGGCGCTCTGTTACCATTCATGGGGGGAATATACGGATGGACAGACAGCTCTGTATGACACTCTTTAAAAATTAAAATTAAAATTGGAATAAAGCACCAGCAAATTGGTCTAATTACAATGGAACAAATCAGTGCTGCTGAGTCACCTGAAATTGGCAATTGTAAAGCAAAAATCTGAACACCGCAGCAATATGACAAAATAAGACAATTCTGAACGCATTAACATTTTAAACTTCACAATTTATTTTTTCTGATGGCTTATGTTTTATTTCAGGGGTTTCAAAGCCAATGAGGCTAGTGGACGAGGACCTTTGGTTCCCCCCCAAAACCTTTTGTCACGTGTACTAAGTCACAGTCCAAACAGGGCCAGGGGGGCGGTTTCCATGGTGATCAGTAAATCAACAACCGAGCTTGATGTGCGTTGGGAAAACTTAAAAAGGGGGCACGCTCGATCTTAGAAGCGTTATTTACAAAAGGACGGTTCCAGTGCTTATATTTCAACAGTGTTGATTTTTTTTTAACCTCATCTGGCATTCAAACCAGCAACCTAATACTCATGCCCTCTCGTTCCTTCAGCATCAAAAAAGGGAGAGCACTGACGTTGCTGCATTTTTGTAGTCCGTGCACTCCCTTCACCTCATTACAAACGCTCGGCACAAAGCGCCACCAGAACACGACTCGCCTTCCAGAATAACAACAAAAAAATACAACAACAACAGGGCGACCTAGATCCCGATGGAATGAAGTCCAGCAAGGTGCCGCTGATCCGAAAAACCTGCTCAGTTGCGAGAGGATTTTCCTCTCTGCCTCACTAACCTGAAGAATACAGACAATGCGGTCGCTTAATACGACAACGACAGCAACCACCTCTTCATCAGGTCGGTTTCCTAAATTTACCCAAAAAGCATCATTAGGCTGCACAAACCGGTTGGTTGAAGTGAGCCCTTGAATCAGTGTGGCCTATCTAACCAAGTGGCTCATTCAGCAGACAGACAAACTAGTCATGGTCCCAAAAACTGGAAGCATCTGGTGACAGCCATCCATTGTATTCTCCCTCCAAAGATCTTGTTGAGGCGTTGCAACAAAGGCACCTTTCAAAGAGCAGGATGAGAGTTGGAGCGGTTCTGCGTAAGATGATCTGGACTTTTACCATTTTCTTGTATTCGGAAAACTCGTCTCCTTTAACCTGCAACCGACTATCACAGCAGAGGATGTTCAGTCCCCACACAGAGCGACTGAGGCTAAACTGTGATTGAAGTTAGGCAACAACAATATTACTAATCAGTTAAGCAATCATTTATCGAGCAAAAACGTGAAGCCTTACCATGTGCCTTTTATTTGGAAACCTCGGTCTCGGATAATATTCCTCTAAATTGAATCACAGGATTATCATTTTCGGACATTTTAGAGACTTCAGGATAAAATCCTCTTGTCGATTGATGTTTTTTTTTAGCCTTAACTGTATTATTTTTCCAATCCATTTAGACCGAATACCTCAGAACGAGTCAGAGAGTTGCAAAAAGTTGCCATCCAAGTAAGGTGGCTCAGCAAAAAAAGACTCCTCAACTTCTTCAATGTCAAAAATGCTTTTGTGACACCTTTTCCTCATTCTGCATTAGCTGAAGAGTTCGTAGGGAGGACTAATTCAAAAAAAGGAGTGCTACAATGGTCAACGTCGTTTAAGGGTTTCTGCTTTTTTGTGTTGTAGAAACTGATGGGTAATAAATGTCATTAAAGGTGGAGCAAGTTGGCCTGCTGAACGACTGAAGCTCCACCTTGGAGGCGCGTTCGACTCTGACCTACTGGAGTGACCATGCTGCAATCTGTAAGGACTCTGAACAGCAACTCGTGGGGCCTAATTGATCCCACTGCAATTTAAAACACAAATGACAGTTCAAATAAATGTGGCTGAATCAATTACAGTTTGAGGTTCAATCTGATACAAACAGTATTTTTACACCAGACTATGTCAACAAATTAAGGTTAGTTTCACACATTTACAGTCTGCTTTACCAGCCACTATTGAGTGCATGGTAGCTGCTTAGAAATATGTATCCTTGGAAAACAAATACAGGCTGCAATTTCAGAGTCAAACCCAGACATATTATTAAAACCAGGTATTCCTAAATACTTCCTCTGCCGTTACAAGGACAGACACAGGAAAACTTTCCTGCCAATCGAGTGTATAACAAATCACCTCTGGCCAAACCCTCGTTGAATTGAACCATTGCAGATCAATTTAATACTTATTCCACTCCACTGTACATACTACTATTCCCCTAAATACATACTCACATACACGGTTTATACCTTGTATTCAATGCACTTTTTTATTTAATTTCTTAAATATAATTGAATATGTTCTGCTCTGTCATTTTACTGTATCATATATATATTGGCCATTTTTGAAATATCATACAGAATACTTCTATGTTTACTATGTAACCTTACCTGCTGCACAGAAACCCCCCACAATGTGAATGAATAAAGTAAACAGTAAACTATCTAAATTACAACGTGACCGAGGTGGCCTTAATGTGTGAATATATTAAAAAGGCATCACAGGTCAGTGCTTCTATTGGACACATCGTTACCGATGACCCCCCCCCCGTCTCATGTAAACGTAGTGAGTGTGCGGGAAAGCAGCTGGGGTAACAACGTTGTCATTAGAGAAACACACACACACACACACACACACACACACACACACACACACACACACACACACACACACACACACACACACACACAGGTTTGGAAATGGATGTACTGCTTTGTTTGACACACACGCACACGAAACGCACTGATCAAGTGGTGACGCAGAGCTCCGCTATTGTCATTGACTACCGGTAGAAGTGTGTCACTGGTGCTAGCCCGTTAGCCAGCTCGGCTAGCTAGCACGGCTAGCCGAACGCCAGACGTTATCGACGGGCGTTTATCTCGCGGCGGGCCTTCGCTCACCTTCCGCGATCACCCTCTTGATCCTCAGCTTCATGTCGCCGAGCTCCACGACCTGTCCGACGAAGTCGTTCTGGTCCCGGCTGGCCGCCCCCAGCGAGCCGGGCCCGGCTAGGAAATCCAGTGCCGACTGGAACAGGGACATCTTATCTCAAGTGACCCGTTTCCGGCTCGCAGAGGCCCCGGGTCCAGGCGACGAAAGGCGCGGAGTGAAACCCAGCGGACTCTGCGGAAAATCCCGGTGACGCTTCGCTCTGTTACACAGGCGTTACAGCGGGTGTTGTTAGTGTTTCGCTGGAAGCAAACATCCTCTTCCTGCTGCTAGGTTGATGAGGCCGCTGCCATGATCGCCACTGCTCACTTCCGCGTAGGCTGGTGACGTTTAGGGCACGACCAGGTCACGTGATGTGGGGGACAAAATGAATGAAAAATGAGGCTCTACTCACCCACTGTGGACACGTTGAAATCCACGCCGACAACGATATGTAACTAAGCTGCAGGTAAATAAGTAATGTAGGGTCCGCAAATCAATTCATCTGGTAGCCAATATATTGTTGGAATAAATGGATTATGACATTTCTGGCAATTTATTATTTATTGTGTTAAAATATAGCACAAGAAACAGGCTTACCTTAGATGTGTTTGGAGATGCAGAACGAATTTATTTCACAAGAAGTTTCTGCAATGAAGAAATAGCCAAGATATATTTTAATGTCTTCCTTTTATCGAGTCTTGTGGTACAATTATGCAGTTATAGCACATTAACTACAACAATCATCTCGTGTTTTTTAGTGAGAGACTCTTTTTAAACAAATAATGTGGTGTCAGACTTTATAAAACATATGCCATTCTTTATATTACAGAAAATAGCCATGGGCCTAATCTTCAATCGTAACTAGCTATGCATTTCAAATATTGTGTAGTAGAGCGCCATCTACTGGATTTAAATCTGTAGCATTTGTAACATCCTTAATCTACACACATTGACATTGAGTACTCTTGAGTACCAGTGCCAAACCCTGTCAACTTGTTTATTTCTACAACTCTTGTTCCTTTGTCAGGCTGGTAAGGATATTTTTAGAGAATATCTGCAATAAAAACACAAACATATTATCTACCATACAGTATAAGCATACCATACAAGCCCAAACTAGAAAAATACATTAAAGAAATCAAAGAAGTCGTTAGATGTGACATTTTATTGAGAATGAGGTGGTGAAGCAACATAACCCTTCTAAGGAGTAATCAAACAAACAATCTAGCTGGCAGACACTTTAAAACAAATTACAATAAAAGAAACCAGATTTAAGGATGTTTTTTCACATGTAGGGAGAAGAGACAGGACATATAGAAGTGGAGTCTGAAGGCAACACTAGAGAAGAACATGTAGGACAACCAGACAAGTTCAAAAGTAAAACCATAAGGAATCCATAACAGGGTTAAAATATAGCAAATAAAATACAATGATATTTGTCAAAGTAAGTTAAAAATGAGTATGAGGAGCACAGGTAATAATTTATTGAAAAGCTAAAGGTTTACAGCTGTCTGAAATTCAAAGAAATAAGAGTCTGTCTGTGTTACGATCAATAACAGAGATGTATTATACTTGTCCTTCACTTGCCAAAGTGTGCTGCAATATATACCAAATCATGATGCAAATGCAACAGATTTCCCAATATAAATGACAGTATGTATCAGTTGGTTACACATTTGACTTTGCAGTGTCCAAAGGGCAGGCATCAGGATAAGAATTCTATGATACAATATAATGACAGATTTCGCTACTGCTCCATTTAAAATGATTTTTCTTCAATATCAGTCAGAGTCAGCTATCGGTGATTTTCAGTGACATTTTGGCTAATGCTTTAATCAAGGGCTTACCACGGCTCCTTTCAAGAACGCACAGGCAAAAGCTGTGTGGTTTGGAGGTTGAGCACACAGTGACTGGGCAAAACTCAGAAGCATGTATCTCAGACATATTTGCTCGGATTTTGTGGTGCGGTGAAATACAAGGTCACCGTTTTTGCAATCTGGACTGTGGGTCTGAGGCAGAGAAGACAATATAAATATTTGAGATAACTGTGAATCAAATGTTAATTTAACAGTGAATGAGTATCATTGTGTTCATTGTAATTTGTGTATTATTGTGTATTAAGGTGGAAAAAACTGAAATCACAAAATTGGGATCTTATTGTGATTATGCCTAAGGTAATATCATTTTTGACATGCAGAAATACAAACTAGAAACGACTGGACAGAACTTGGTTTAACCGGCATGTTGCAATTAATGGACCCAAAGTTTAGCTGGCCTCATAAGATGGTGAGGAAGGTCGTTATTCCCTCCCACTGATTGGGCACACCTCTAATCGCTCCGGCGTATTGCTCTCTGATTGGCTGATACGCCCCCTTTGAAGCCTCCAAACTAGCGTGCCATTGATCAAACCGCGGGCCAGCGCAACGCCGATGATACGCCTCCCGCATGGACCGATGCGTCGGCTGATGTGGAACCAGTGCGCTGAGGACCAATCAAAATCCTCCATTTTGACAGGCAAGTTCCCCGCGTGCACGAGACTCGTCCGTCTGATTCTGTTGCGCGTTCACTTGTCGGGGAAGTTCAAGATGGCTAGCATGTTCAGTATAACAACAAACTATCACGTTTTCTGGTCAGCGTACTGCTACTGTCATAAACAGGGAGGACTGGATTGTGGGATACTTTTTATACTTTCCATAAATCAATAGGGGAAACTAGTTTGGTCACTGGTGTGTAGCTTGATGTGATGCAGATGCATAACATTTTGGCCTTTAATTTTTCTGTATCAAGGGTCTGTATTTTATTTTACTTTTGTTATTATCTGATATGTATTTTTTTTATATTATATTCTTTGACATGACAGTTCACTTTTCAAAGAATGTAACTCATCAAATGATGATTTGGTGTGGGGAAAACTTTTCCAGCTCAATGGTTAGCCAAACTCATTGCATCACCTATTCAATCAATCTGGCATACGTGAGCAAAAAATGTTCCTTCACTAAATATTAATGATCGGTAATCAGTGTCATTGGTATAACTACTTATCGTACATCACAAAACAGAGGCACGTAAACAAATAGTTGAGTCTGCTTTTTGTGTACGTGGTGTGTGTGTGTGTGTGTGTGTGTGTGTGTGTGTGTGTGTGTGTGTGTGTAACGTTAGTTGTGAAACACTTTTCGCTCTTGAACGCAGCTCGCTGTGCTACGTCACGACGGCAGGGGCGTGGCCTGTCCGGTTTGTCCTCGGAAGCCCCACGCTCGCCTCTGACAGAGACCCTCAGCCACAGACACCGAGCGGCCCACCCGGTGACCACATTCAACCTCAACCCGGACACGAGCCAGTTAGCTTCGGCGAAGCGCGAGCGTCAACCGGCCTGTGTTTCCCCCGCCGTCCGTTCTCATTCCGCCGAAAAGATGTCTAAAGACGCGGAGAAGAAGAGCGAGAAAATCATGGACATGGAGAGCAAGGTGCTGTGGTACCCGGACTCCAAGAGGAACACACGGATGGACACGTTTAGGAAGCAGGTCAACGGACGCTACGGACTTAACCTCGGTGAGTGAGAGAACGAGGGAGGATGGAGGAAGACGGACGGGGACCCGGACGGAGAGGGTTTAAAAGTCGGACACGGTTACGGCGTCCCGGTGTAACGGCTGCTATCCGTCGATATTCATGGCACATTTATTAAACCGCCGGGGTGTAAAGCCGCTTCGCAGTGCTTTGCATCGTTTAGAGCGAACGTTAATCGTTAGCTTTGGCCCGCGAGGCTTTCCGGACAAACAGCGCACGCGCATTTAAACACATGTCTGCAGGTTTAGGGTTATGCAACTATTAATAATCAAGAGGCAGCTATGCCATTCATCGGGAAGAGGTTGGGTCATTGGGGGTCTCTGTGGGTTCAATTATAATAAAGTAATGTATTATTCATTTACTTTTAATTCGTTGGCTCCCAACTGAACTAAAATCAATTTCTTTCTTTTAAACCAAGACTGTTATTTTTCAGGATTTACTGATTGTCTTTTTTTTTTTTAAATCAGTGTTTAAAATTCGGTTGTCAGGATCCTCCACAACTTACAGGGTGCATCTAATATTCTTTCAGCTTAGATGCTTGTACTAATATCTGACCATTTTACTTTCATTCTAACTACCTGTAACAACTCCACATGATATGCTCGAGCTGACAGGTGATCACACCTGTGATCAGACATTTGCTGTTCTAGATGTGCAGTAATGGTGGGTTTTCTGTCCTCTAGTCAACTACCATGAGCTGTACCAGTGGTCGGTGGACTGTTATCCAGATTTCTGGGGAGAAGTGTGGCGCTTCTGCGGCGTAGTGAGCTCCAAGCCATACGAAGAGGTGAGTCCAGCACCCGATGCCGTATGCCGGAGGACGATGCTTTTGACCGTAGCCGTAACTTTGAGGTTATAAACGGGTCATACAAAATACCCGGTTGATTTGATTGATATTTAATGACCATGGCGTATAAACATTTGATCACAACAGTTTGTGTGACCACTGCGTGCATCTATCCGGTGATATTCTTATGTCCCGTTGTGGCTGCTATAAAAGGCTCTGAAAATGGACAACATGTGGCACGTTTATTTTTGCCGATGTTTCCCGCCATGTCTGAACTCAACTCTGTATTGCTTATGATGGCATTTTAAAAATAAAGCTGCCTTGGTATGTGTGTGTGTGTGTGTGTAATCAAATAGTGTTTGTCGTTCGGCCGCTCTGCCATCTTGTTGACACACCCCATTCTTAAATGGAAATCAGATGGCACATTATTTTTTTTTAATTACGCATTTTCTTACCCACTTAACCCGTTTGTAGGCTTGCATCCCCAGTAACATTAGACAGTGAACCAGTCAATCAACCATTGTAGGACTGCGGTGCACTGTGGGTCTTCCCACTTAACTCCATTATTGCCGTGGATTCTTATGACATTGTTTCTGGCAGTTGTTTGAGTGGTGCCTTTTTTATACAGTCCCATTTTCCTACTTGAGTCTCTGCCAGCGAAGGCAGCACACCTTTACAATGCATGGTCGCCTTGGTCAACGACGCTGATTCCCTCCTGTGTGTGTGTTCTGTGGGTGTGTACCAGGTTGTGGATTTCACCAAGCGGATCTCGGATGTTCCGGAGTGGTTTAAAGGAGCTCGCCTCAACTACGCCGAGAACTTGCTCAAACATGGAGACCAGGACAAAGTGGCTATCTATGCCGCAAGTAAGTAGACAAAGTGTAAGATGCTGATTAAAAACACATGAACTATACCTTCACTGGGCTTGACGTGAAAGAACAGAGTTGAGGTTGAGTCTGATCAGGGAATCGACGCGCCGGTGAGCGTGGGGCCGCATACGTCACTCCGTTAATAGAATAACCGCTGCTCCCTCCTCGATCTCTCAGAGCTGTCATTACTAATGGATAGCCACTTCCTTATTGCCCTGGTTGTGTGTGTATATGAGGGGGAGTAGGGTTGCACACACACACTCAACCTTCTGCAGCAGCTGTAATGTAGTTATGAGAAGGGCTACCGGTCACAAAGTGGAGTGGAGCCTTTGTGAATGTCACTAATAAAAGAGACCAGGAGGACTGGTTCTGCCTGGTTCTGTCCAGCTACACTATGAATCCATGAAAATATCCATCTGTTTCCTTTTTGAAATAAAGAAAAACATCAACCCGTGAATAAATACAATATTTAACAAAGCGGTGCAACAAGCCCCAATGTCAAATGTCAGAGCCAATAAAACATGTGGGAGTGTGTGTGGCTTTAACTATATTTCTCTGTGTACGTGTCTCACTTTCCGCCAGCCGAGGCAAACGACGAGATCGTGAAGGTGACGTTCGGGGAGCTGAGGCGGGACGTGGCGTTGTTTGCTGCGGCCATGAGGAAGATGGGCCTCCAGACTGGAGACCGGGTCGTAGGTGAGTGTCAAATGTATTACCCAATAAACATTTTCTGCAACCTTTTTTTTTATTTTTTATTATCTGCCAAGCGATGGTCGGTTTGCTTGCTCTCCTTCTGACCACCTCTTCGTTCACACTCGGTCCGTCTTTCAGGTTTGAAACTTGTCGCGACACAAGTTGGACACGGGTCCTTCTGCTGTAGTTCTGGAGGTTTGTGCTCGCTGCCTTGGCACCAGCTATTCCTGAAAGTCTCCATTTAGTTTTTTCATAGTTCATATTTGTACAAGGTTGAATGGTGGATTTTCAGGTTTTCCTGGCTCTGCTTGCTGCGCAGCATATATTCCTCCGAGTTTACTCGAAAGTATACAGCACAGCTGCAGCTTCAATGCATGTCAGTTACATAAGCCCATCACAATTTATCTTTTTTAATTGCGCACAAGTGTAAAACGCTTGAGCTTACTCTCTCACTTTGCAGCAGACCGATCCGGTGGATCTGCTCTGTTATCTGAGGTTTAGTCAAACGCATGTCAGTCTTCCTGAACTGAACTGACTCCTTGATGCAAGGAAAATATGTCTTTCGTTGCATGAAGAGGTTTTTTGATCTGAAAATATACTGAAAATACACACCCATACGTAACACTTTTAACCATAGAGCAGTATTCACAATTATTCAAATAGGCTGCTCGGCCAAATCCTGGTTGTCAGAGGTCTCCACAACCTTCCTTCGCTTACACGAAGCGTCTCTGATGTTTGAACTTTGAAACCACTTCCTGCTCCAGTTATATGGAACACGCCCCTCAAAAGCCTGTTTGTCCTACACGGTCAGTCTGGCACTCTGGTTCAGAGGTTACAGGAAATGCCTTTTGATGAATGAATATAAAGAGGGCTCAGAGGCCCTCAAAAAAATGATTTATTAAAAGTGGTAAGTGATTATTGATTTGAGTGTTCAGAAAATGGAGTCAGTCGTCTAAGCCAATAGGACGGTGTTCTGTTCTGGTTAAGAATGAAGGGGCTGGTGTTATCCCGCCCTCGTATGCCGTGTTCTTTGAGTCATCAGAGTGACAGAAGTAAATGTGTGCTGTCTGTGAGCTCATCTTGAGCCATGTGGTGTATGACTGCGGTGTATGACGTTCGTGTGTGTGTGTGTGTGTGCGCGTGTGCGCTCTCAGAGGAATGACAGATACTGCGGTCGGGACATCCATTAGCTAAATGACTTCAGCTCTGTGGGAATCTCATTAGAACAACGAGAGGGATGAAGGAATTGACGTCAAGGGAGCGGGAGGGAGAGATTTCGGCTTCCTTACGCCTCCTTTCCCCTTTACATTCCTCACAGGAAGACGTGTGTGTGTGTGTGTGTGTGTGTGTTACGATGTGTGCTCACTTGTGTGTGTATATTGGGGACAGAGATGTCCTTGTAACTCAAATACCTTGTCTGTGTCTGTAATCCAGGAGATATATAAGCACTTAGCTGATGAAGCCAACCAAGCTTAATAGCAGTAAAAGATCCACACACACACACACACACACACACACATGCCTGGTGTGATGCTCTCGTTTGTGCACTTAGTTCCATTGCTTCTCTCCCTGGTCGTCTTCAACATCCCCTCCACCTGGTTATCAAGCTTGTTTCTAGCTTCCCTCCACTTGTTTGCATTGCAAACATACACGGCTGCCACAATCTTTGGAACGATGAGACATACAAGCTTGTCACAGCCAGCTGTGAACCCTGTATATGAAACAAAACTAATGATTCAGAAGATCATTATGTTCTCCACCCATAGTTTCCCAGATGACTAAGAGGTTTGTGTCGTCTCTTCTTATACTGGGACTCGGAGCTGGACCTGGACGAGGATCCAGTCTGAATCACCAGTCCGGCTGTTGTGTTGTGATGTTCAGTAGCGGCCACGTTGGCTCGACCGCATGGCGCCTGTGAGGTTAAACTCCGCTTCAGACACTTGTTTCAATGTCCCCGCTCACCTCTTTGCAGTGTGGGCAAAAGAACTAGAGCGGTAATTCTGTGTCAATCAACCTCGGCAAGGGAAGTGAAGAGGAGGAGCGGTATTAAGTAAACATATTGTGATTTAATAATGGAGAATAAAAAGACATCTTATCCATTGTTTTGTGAGGAAGACGAAGCCCTCCAGGATAAACACGCGTTGAATGAATGTAAACGCATACATTTATTTATTTACAAGAACATTCAACAGGGCAGTGTTTAAAAAAGCCTTTTCTACTGCGACTTTATTCATTTCCTCTTCATTCAAACTGCCTGGTTCGCCTCCCGAGTGCCTTGCTCCAGGGTCTGTTCCCAGAAATACTAACTATCATCCAATTAATGCTGAAATCACAGGGCTAAAACATCCATTTTATTGGGAGGAATCCAAACAAAGATGTTTTTGTTTCCTCTTTCTGTGTCTTCTCCCACTTTAAAGTCCTTGGAAGGAAACCATAGCCACTCGTTTGAATGATAGCTACACCCCCCCCCCCCCCCCCGTGGGAGCGTTGTGATTTATGAGAGTGTCTGTAGCACCAGAATAGCACGATGGTGATTTGTCGGATGTCGTCAAGCGAAGATCAGCTCCCTGGTCACAGTAAGCCGGAGCCAGCAAAGCAGCCAATAACAGCCTGATTCAGCAGTTTCAGGTCGACTCTGAAACTACCGGCCGCATTAATGCTTCTTCTTGTTAGATTAGATTGTCCTTATCAGCAAAGCACCCATGTGTCTATAACACGAGAGCTCTGGCAAATCTATCGTTTCTTTTAGTTTAGTTCAACCGTTTCCATGACGGACGGGCTGCATTCACAACAGACATCTCTGATTGATTGAATAGGAATTATATTCAGTTCTCATCTCATCGCAGTTCTGGTTTATTTGGTCCTGAGTAAAATGAAGAGAAAGAGTCAGTGTTAAATGTTGTAAATTCTTTCATTCTTAAATGTTGTAGGAAAGTAAGACGTGTTTTTGTTGCGTTGCAGTTCCTCCATGTTCTTACAATAACCCCCCAATGGACACACCAGTTATCAGAGGACATAAACTGTTCAATATTATGCACCCTATTGGGTGGTCTTCATTGTGTAATTCAAACAGCCGCCTGACGGACCTCCTGATTGTGTGACTCTGCGGTGGAATCGCCCGAGGTCTCTGTTCCTTTGGGCTTTGGGTCTCGTGTGATTCTCTCAGCGAGCGGAGCCTCCGTGTTGCACTCTGCACTTATCAGACAGAGACCACGTAACGGATTGAACTGCACACGCCGATGGCTTGAAATCTAACAAACGGAACACTTGATATCGTGGACTCACTGACCCTCATTGTACTATATTGGGCTTTTTTTCCTGTACATATCGATGTTAAAAAAATATTATCGTGTATTGCACGACTCACTTATGATGTGTGGTTTGTGCAAACAGCATCACGTATTTAGTTAGTTTATAAAAGTACAATCAATTCTCTGCTGTGGAGCCTTTTGATTATCACTTTTTGAAGTATTTTTCTGTTAATGCACAGTCCTAGTCTGAGTGAAATATGTACCAATTGTTGATATATTGCTGCTTATTAAAAGTGACCTTTTGCCCCCCCCAGGCTACCTGCCCAATGGTATCCATGCAGTGGAGGCCATGTTAGCAGCAGCCAGCATTGGAGCCATTTGGAGCTCCACGTCGGTCGACTTTGGGGTCAACGTAAGGGCTTGTTATACTGTTTGGGGCTTGCATGTGTATTTACATATGTTTGAGTTTGAGCAGCTACCTTTCAATCATACTCTGTTCATGATCCATTGGGTTAGTTGTTCTAATAAGATGTGATAGTAGAACCAGCCTCCCCTGCACAGCATTAATCTCATGTTTATTTTCCAAGCACAAATTAACTGTACTACACATAGCATTTATCTTTATTTGGACTCTAAAGCACACATCTCTGCTATAAGTGTCAGCACTTACAGCAGCATTTCTTTTGTCTCCTAATTCTGGTACCTAAACTCTACAAGGCCAGAGGTCTTTTAACAATACTTGTGTTCATTTTTGCAGATTGCATGATTGTGTCAAAAGCGACAAGCATTAATTCACACATAGACATGAAGAGGAAACAGAATCCGATCTAACAGACAACACGTGTAGGAGAGAGCAGAGTTAACTCTTCCTCCTCAGTGGTCCTTTGGTCTCTGCTTCTAATTTCTGATGTGCTACTGCCCCATCTGGCAGATGAGGGAACTACACTTAAAATCCAAATATGTGTTGAACGCGAAGTGAAGGTGTTCATTTCACGGTCCATATTTACTGCTCCCACTGCAGTGAGTGGAGGATTTTATTTAGCTGGGGCTGTCCTGCCTTCTCACTCCAGTGATTTCCTTTTTGGTTTTTACCTTTCTCTCTCTTTTTTTTCACCTCAGGGTGTCCTCGACAGGTTTTCTCAAATCCAGCCCAAGCTGATCTTTTCTGTTGCTGCTGTGGTTTACAACGGCAAAACACACGACCACATGGAAAAGCTGACCAGCGTTGTCAAAGGTTGGCCTACTATCAATTCACTACGGACTATCAAACACTACGTTGGCTTCTTTGACTGTTTGGTGGTAAAAAGCGACAGTACGGAGATTTCATCCAGCGAACTTCATTTCTTAAGAACTTAATTTCTTGGATCTAAAGAGCCAAACTGTGCTACGTGTTTATGGGAGTAACGCTGGAATCCCTCTGAGAGCCTTCTTCTCTCTTCACAAGGTGAAGGTGTGAAACAAACAGACTCTCTCTCTCTCTCTCTGTAGGTCTGCCCGACCTGAAGAAAGTAGTGGTGATTCCCTACGCTCGCTCCAAACAGGACACTGACCTCTCCAAGATACCCAACAGGTGTGTGTGTGTGTGTGTGTGTGTGTGTGTGATCTTGAGTCTGAGATCTTCTCTCTTCTGTCCGTATATTGTATGAGCCTTTTAACCCACTTCTTTTTTGACTCTCCTTCTCTGGTTTCTTCTTCTGCAGTGTACTGATCGACGACTTCTTGGCATCCGGCCGTGGCGAGGCTGACCAGCTTCCTCAGCTGGAGTTTGAGCAGCTACCTTTCAATCATCCTCTGTTCATCATGTACTCATCTGGCACCACGGGGGCTCCAAAATGCATGGTCCACTCTGCTGGGGTAAGAAAAACGTGTCCCCTCCCTCCCCAAATCATCAACACGGCGCGCTCTTTCTCTCTGTGTTGAGCGGACCCTAAAATGACTTTGGTCATTTGGTTGCAAATTTGTTGTTTGTAGAGGGCTGTATGGATCGCAGCTGTCTTTCTCTCGCACACTCATGCACGTACGCACACACACATTAGCGCGCGCTGACCGCACCTGTTTGCAGAGCTCTCCACGGTTGGCCCACATTCCCAGTTTGCTGCTCGGTGCACAGCGTTTGTATTAATGCACGTAAGCGAGTTGAGAAGGAGGAGAGGTTCTCAACAAAGGAGACGAATGACGAGGAAAGAAGGAAGAAAGGAAGGACCAGAGGAGAGTAGTCAAAATGATCCAGTGGAACCTAAATTGTAAAGCTCATTATTAAGATCATGTTGTGCTCGCTCGCTTTGGGCATGGTTTTTTTTTTTAAAGCCCCCCGGCTAGGTTACAAAGTCTTCTAATTATGCAGCTTCATCAACATTAAAATATATATATGAAGACAACTGTAGATTTAAGAGCTACGGTCTAAATGTGAGGTTTAAGACTCAATGCATGTCCATTTAGTAGCTTCTCTGTATTGAAATATGATTCTTGTAAAGGCTAATGGGGCTCCCACTGTCACAATATTATAGTTGTCGTAAAGGGCAGAACTAACGCCTAAGAAATGTGTTATCGGTGACGAGTGTGTGTGTCGTCTGTGATGCCTTGAGAACACGGCATCTTTATAGTACCTCCTATTAAGTAAAAGGAATGTTATTGATCAAATTAAAACAAAATACGAGTCACTCTTGGTGAGCTTCCCAGTGGCCGTAGCCGTATGCCTGCTATCTCTTTTCTTCCACAAGATGGCAGCAGACCTCCATAAGCAGCCGAAGGTTTTCCGCTCTTGTGAGCATGAATTTCCCTTTTTCCCGCTGCATTCCACATCTGAGTGAAGGCGCCGGATGAGTGTGTGCTTTCAAAAGGGCCGCTGCACTTTGAAGCCTGAAACACTAAACATGCCAAATGGTTTGACACACTTGAACAAATGCAAAAGGTTCCCTTTTGTCTCAAATGCTCTGTCGCGCCCCCCCACCCCCCCTTCCCCTCTCCTCCTCCTCTCAATGCCTCCGATAATTGGGCCCCACTGCGTCGGTGAAAACAGTTCGTACTGCGCCGCTGGCAGTCCTCTCCGTCTCCGCCAATTAGCCCCGGCACTTCTGCTTTGTTTCAGCTGTGCCAAAGACCACACACACACACACACACACACACACTCACCTGTTAATGCGAACAGGAACCTACACGTTATGGGTCAAAACTGAAACACATATGACAGTAATAAAAACATAATCAACTGTGTTGGGGTGATGATTGTGGGCAAATTCCAATTAACACAAATGGCCCTTTGTGTCAGAAGTGCTTGTGTGGTTTCCTTTTTGTCTGTTAGCGCAACTGCGACTAAGAATATGTATAACTGTAAAGCAAGGGAGCTCACTCTGGCGACGTGTTTGCGCCGCCCCTCTTCCGATCTACACTCTACACGTGTCGTCGTGTGTGTTGCCGGGGAACCAGGAACGTGTCAAACTTGGCCTAATTTGGCCAGTTGGGGGAGCTGTAAGAACAGACTTTACATTCTGGGTGTTTGGCTGTTGAACCATAAGTCTCAGTGGCGAACATCTTTTTTCTCTTGGATACTGTGGGTCCAGAAAAATCTCATCCCAGCAAGACGTGCCGCAAGTGGAATTTCCCGGCGTTTTTTTTTTTCAAACAATTTGAACGTATTCCTTTTAATTACTGCCTCGTTTAAGCAGACGTCTTCGGATTTCTGTATGTCAAATTCATGTGTAACATATCGTCACTGTCAATTTTGTTAATCAACAACATCCAGGGGTCAAATGTCACGGTCATGGCTGATGGGTTTGTGTGATCTTGTATCTTTCATACCAATTCATTCACTCTCTTTCTCTCTGTCTCACTTTGTCTGCTGGCCTCTGTAGGGCACGCTCATCCAACATTTGAAAGAACACATCCTCCATGGAAATATGACCAGCAGTGATGTCATCATTTACTACACCACGGTAGGTCCGCCATCAGATCACAATAACAATGAGGTGTCGGGTGATTTCCACGGCTCTTTTTTGCTTCATTTCAGTCACCAGCAGTGATGGAAGGTTTTTAATCCTGAGCCTGGTCCAAAAGACTCACAAACCCCACCCACCCCCCCCCCCCCCCCCACACACAGAAAGACACATATATAAACAATTGAATATCTCTCGTGTAAAGAGCGGCATTGAGTGCTGGAAGGCAGAGCTCTGCGGCATTTGTAGTTGTTTTCCGAGAAGATTCCCGCTTGTTTTGAAGGTTAACACAGAGGAACCGTTGTTTTTTGTGAGAACGACCCGCCGGTTTCTATTGCACCAATATTACCATTTACTATGACAAAAAAAAAGAACAAACCTTTTTGGAAGGTTTCTCTCCGGGAGTGGGAATTGATGGACGCATAAACTGATTAATCAAAAATCTTTTCTACACTTTGTGGAAGTGATTAAACTGAGAACTTCCTTCCACCCAATTCTGATTGTATTCGTGCTGATTCATTATCTGTACAGTGAAAGCTGCGATCAATATGCAAAATGATTTGGGATGATGCCAAAGTAGTAGCTAGTGGGGAAAGAAGAGAAGCACTGCAGTGTGAGCCACAGACAGTTAACTCACACTCTGCATTAAATTTAGTTACCCATTTACTCATGTTGATGAGAAAGGAGTGTTTATGCCAGATAAACTGACTTTTGTGTGTGTGTGTGTGTGTGTGTGTGTGTGTGTGCGCGCGCGCTTGCTGTGCTCAGACCGGCTGGATGATGTGGAACTGGCTGGTGTCTGCTCTGGCAGTGGGGGCCTCTGTGGTTTTATATGACGGTTCACCTCTGATGCCCACAGCAAATGTACTGTGGAACCTGACAGACCAGCTGGGGTGAGTTAGGCACACACACACATATTGACGATGATTGATTTCTTTCCGTTGGTATTCATATTTAAGTACTAATTGTCTATGAAACCGATTCCTACTGTAGCCATGGGTGAGTGCTGCGCAGCTTCACCCATGTTGCATTCTCACAACACAAATGGTGCAAGCAGAGAGAGGACTCTTCCTTTTTAAATGTAACATTTAGTGTCATGAAGAGCAGACAGACGGACAAAGAGTGTCCAGACAAAAAAAAGAGCATCAGGGGAGGGATCGGGACACACAGGCGGCGTGAGGAAGAGCGTGAGCAAAGGGTAAGGTTCTCCATGGAGGGTTTGTCTCCAACCACACAATTGATTTTGTGTTTGCCTAATTGACAACTTGGGCACACAAGCAGACCTATGAATAAAGATTTCCGCTGTCACCAACCTTCAGCAACCGATCATACTACAAACATCCATTATTTATTCTCTAATTTATGGCCCCTAATTTAAATTATAGAACAAACTAAATGATTTCTTAGCCGTTAAGAAAACAGCGACATTAAGAAAAGAGCGGTCAATTGATATATAATCATTTTGGTTATTATTATTATTATTTGGAAATAAATGAGAACAGGCATTTCGAGCTTTCCAAAAGCTGTCATGTCTTGCCGGCATTTTCTAATCTGCTATATGTAGTAAATGCATTCTTATTTCATGCAGTGTCACCTAACTCGTTGAAACAAACCTTATTGATCAGCGCAGGCGAGCTGCCCTGTTGCACCGCTTGAAGTCAGCGGGTCAGCCATCCCTTCAGCATGTCGTCATGGAGACGGGTGGTGGGGTGCTGTTAATTTGGGCGTCCCAGGTCCAACCACGGGAGATGCACGGCACAGTGTGGGCGTCTCATGGGGAAACGAGGGATTACATCCTGTCTGATTTCATCTTAAAAACATATTTTATATTGGTGTGATACCAGAATAGATGCCATAAAATAAAATCCTTTCTCTTTCATCATTCAAAACCATATTTTCCAAAGTAGCATGGGGGAGATTTACTGATACCTCCTATCACCACCATAAGCAGCGTATAATAAAACCAAGTATCGATCTTCTATTGTCTTCTGGATGCTGCAATGACAAAGATGTCAAAGTAAAATATTGCAGGAGTGTATGTTTGCAGGCAGGCCATTTATTTCTTCAAATTGAATGTGTTCCTTTGTCTCCTGTGTGCATCCGAGGAAGGTGTAACGATGTCACAGCCCTGCCCCGAGAAAGTCACTTATTTTCCTTATTTATTTATCTCATGTTGTGTTATATTTAGCATACAATAATTTAGTTAATTTTCAGAGCAATCGTTTTTTTAGCCATCTGCAAACAAATTTGACATCGTACAAAAGAAAACTTGCCGCTATGAAACTCTTGTCAACCTTGATTAAAAAGTGAAAACAAGGCACTGCGGTCAGCAGAAGTGAGCAGCAGAGATACGTCACACACGTCTTTAGTGCAGCGGGGACGTCGTACCGCCTTCAGCAGCAAAGGGAGTTATGGGGCGAGCAGAGAGACACGTATGGGGGGCAGTGGGAGTTATGGAGCCAAAATGCAGAGTAAAAGTACTTCTCCTGCAGAATCCCGGGACAGGTTGTAGATCCTAAAGCCAACGCGCTCCTTTGACACAGCTTTACTGCCCATTTCAATTCTCAATGTTTAAGGATCTTCATGTGGTGATTGGCGACCCGGTGGGAAAACAGTTGAAGCAAAATTGTGCTAATTTCTAATGCTGTACGATCGGCCGACATTTACGCTACTGATTTCATTTTGCTGACATAATTGTTGTATTTTTTCAAAATCTCTGTCCAGAAAGACTTTAAATGAGCACAATTGATTGAAGATGGTTAGAAGAGTGTTGGCGAAATGACCCACGCAGAGGAGTTCATTGTGGGGCCGTCGACATGACGGATGAACCCCAGGAACCTTTTCAACTGAGAGGAGACTTTTGAACCATTTAAGTGCCGATGTTGCCACCTCAGACACATTTTCCAGATCCTAACGCGCTGCATAAGGAACCCTGTGGGAGAGGCTGACGTGACCGTTTTCTGTCACGCCTGCATCTTCTGAATTACTGGTTGGACATTTTAATTGAGGCTAAATCCGCCTCAGAGAGTCTTAACCTGCCGCTGAGGCCTCCTCTGTAGTCGCGACTGTTGTCGGTTCGTTGTGGAATTCTACAAACTTCATCTCGCTTAACAGCTGACATTTCCAGTTTTAAATCACTCCATTGATTGTTTTTTTGGACAGAATTGCCCAATTATGAGAAAGTAGCGGTGCTGTAATTTTGCACAGCAAACTCCCTGTCTGCCCTGATGGATTATTGCAAGATTATTTGCCGCTTTTGAGAAAAGGGAAACGGGAACAAGGTGAGGAACTAAAGGCGCGACGTTCTTGGAAAAAGCAAGCAGAAGGTTCCAACATTTATAGCTGTGACGGGTTCTGTGTGCTGGTAGGACTTTGTTTTTCTCTGAGGATCATCTCGCCTCCTGCATCCTCTGTCCATCCTGCGTTGAGCCGAGACGTCAGATCCCCGCCGTACTTTTGTACCAACTATAGAAACGTCGTCCCCTGCCAACGCAGAATTCTCGTTCCTCCTCTTCGGAGGGGACGAGTTCAGCAGATTGCATCTGCTCGGTTCCGCTTTTAGAAATGTGGGCATACTCCTTTTTAAATATCCTCACGTCTCATGCTGGAGACGATTAGTTATTCACAAACGACACCAACGATACTTTTTCCTTAGATAGCAGCATATTGATTAACTGAAGAAAACGAAAACATCTAAACGTTTTCTGCATTCATTTCTTGCTCGGCCTTTGGAGACTTCTTTGTAGGACAAAACGAAAAGAGCTTCTCGTGTCTAGTTTCCATAAAGAGGAGAGTGCTGATGGAAATGTCACGTCTTTTCAGTTACTTGTAGAGATGAAATTGCATTCCTGCAGGTGTGGCTCAAGATCAGCATCCTGTTTGGGAGAGGAAGGGGTCATATGAAAGGAAATGGATATAAAACTCTAAAAATATATTGTTGACAGGCGATGGAGGCTGTTTATAATATCAAACAAGTCCTCCCATTGAGTTCATCAGCACTCATGCTCACAGTGAACATCTGAAGATAAGATCATTTATACTTGCAAATCGGTGAACAATTACGCCATCAGACAGCTGTCTGAAATGGTCCCTCGAGGCTCCTGACACCCGAGGAGGTCTTTTTCCTTTTTTTTTTTCACTCTCATTTTTTATATCTTTCCACTTTGGAGAGGAGTTTAAAAACACACGCGCGCGCATGGGGACGCATTAGCGCTGTAGCTGCTCGCAGGCGTCTGATTGGCTCGGAGTGTCTCTTATTGTCTCAGTAGCTCCCAGCGACACGTCCCCTCTGATGGGCAGACGTTGGCAAATGGAGACTCACAGCTACTCCTCCGCCCGCCATCTCAAACAGCCAATTAGCAAGCACACCTGGCCACCTGCCTCCAATCAGAATAGACTTGACCCCCCTTTGCATGGGAGCCGGCGACGGAACAACTCCAGATGTGAAGGGGGGGCAGTTGGATGGAACAGAGGCAGAATGATGATGAATGTTGTTTTTTTTGTGTGTGTGTCATCTGCATTATCTGATGTCTGTGGAGAACAGGAATAGTCCATCTTCATTCACCGTACTTGTGTTTCGTATTACTACGTAAATAGCAGTGTTTACTGGAAACAGACACACAACAATCTAGTTTCCTTTCTTGGGAAGATGCAGTCAGACGTTTAGAAGTAAACCATATAAAAAATGTTTTACTGAGGAACTAAATTACTAGTAGGTAAGTAATTTGGATGATCTAGCCAGTTGAGTTGGTAATTTCATTGATTTAACTATTCTCTGAGAACATTGGTTTTTTTTTGCTCATTCTTTTGTTATATTTATTACCCACTGAAGCAGACATTTATCTAGTATTGTAATGAGTCAAATAACCGTGCGATGGAAGCCATTTATCTGGAATACTTTTGCAATAAAGTATAGAAAATATTATGATATGGGATTTCAAGACCTGACATTTAAGCAGACAGTGTGTGTGTGTGCTTTCCACATGTTGTCCAGCTGTTGTCAGCTGTCAGGATGCCTCCCAGTCACACAGGAGAAAAGCAACCTTCTGACATCACTGCATTGGAGGGTTGTTGTGTGGAAACATCCTGTCGATACGGTCTCCTCCGAAAGCCTTGTGGAACATTAACAAAGAAGACATCATGTCCTCTAATGCCAGACCGACCATCGGTGTGTTTGATCAGTTGAAACTCAAATCCCAATCCTTTGTTTTTCTACATCTTTCTTATCTATCCACGAAAGCTTGACTGAGCACACCAGCTCCGTTTCAGCATCAACCTGATATTCATCTGCAGGGCGACGCGCCCTCTTCCCCTGGGAACTTCCCAGTACGGCCGAGCGACTGAGCAGCTCCACTGGAGCAGATGGGATTAAGGGCAAACTGTTCAACTGTTGGCCTTTAGAAAAAAAAACACCCCTCCGCACACGGATGTGAAAATGATGCCTCGACGTGCAGATATTCCAAGCGTTGGTCCTCGCTTTTGTTTCCTCACGGGAATTGAAGCTATTTATACAAAATGAAGAAGTCTCTAAAGTAACATCACCTCCAGTGCCGCAGTGCAGAGGCCAGGTCACTTGTGCAAAGCTGTGTGTGAGTGCCAGATGACATATTGTGACACCTGTGTGTGACATGACACAGAATGTACAAGAGCTGGGTTTAGTTTCGATGAGATTAAATGTAGAATACTACGTGCAAACGGTAACCATGGCGGCTCGTGGTCCGTCCGCCCATCTGTCCCACACTTTGGTCTCGAGCAACTTATCTAAAAGATGCAGTTAAGGGATATTCTCAGCATCCTGGTGGATTACTCATAATGTCGTTCTTTTAAAAGTTTCTGTTGTCACAATGCAGAATACATTCCGTGCATGTATGAGGGCATTTACGATTTTGCGTCCTCGGTGCTCAAGCAAATAAATATTTTGCCAAAAGTAATGTACTTGGCTTTTTTCTTTTATGTAAAAGAAGAATGCTCCGCTGATCCTTCATATTGGTACCGCTTGGAAAAATAATAATTTCCGTCTTTTTCTTCTGGCTTTGTCCTTTTTTTTTCTCCTCTGCAGCATCACTATCTTGGGTACCGGGGCCAAGTGGCTGTCGGTGCTGCAGGAGAGGAACCTGAAACCCGGTGAGTTGTGGTGTCACACACATACACACATGGACGCGCACACACACACACATGGACGCACACGGATAACAAGCAGAAACCCAGAGAAGATTGCATTCACTGACACACACATAAAGATAGTACTGTGCTATCTGAGGATGGAACGTGCAACGATGAGAGCAGACGGACCCAATAATCATTATAATGGTGCCGTTTGACTCTAAATGTCCTTTGTGCCATTCGCTGCATAAAGCATCAGCTTGCCCTGCGTTCTGCCGTTTGACACCGAATCCGACGAATGAAAGTGCTGCTGTTATGATTCACGCGAGTCACGGATCGGACCAGCTAATTGCTTTTAGTGTCAGCGCTCTCTCCAGAGAGGGAACCCGGTCTCCACACATAATCACAGCCGTGCCAGCGCTTATTAGCCTCCCCGCTAACCTTTTATACGGGCAGCTCTCGCGACCTTATTTCAGTGACAAAAAAATAAAATTCATCGCTGCTTCGCTCTTTTGCAAAGGTAATCACAGTAGTTTAATAGAAGACGGCACAGGCACCCAATTTGGTGTAAATTGTGGTGATATTTGTATATCTGGTTCCCATAATGAATATTCAGCTCCTTTTGTCGGTAAAATAAAATACCAGTCGTATTAAATTACACAAGCTGGTGACATAATTATACATCAAACCTTTTGCTCCTCTGCTTTGCATCCTGTGTGTGCGTCCTTCTTCATCCCTCCATCTAACCTCTCAAATGATCCTCCCGTTCTCATCATGTAAACGCTACTAATAACTCATTAAAAATAGCTGCTTGTCCTTCCATTTCCTTGCTTTCTGCATTCTCTGCCTCTCCCATTCCTCCTCTCCTTAATTAAATTAGCACTTTACAACCGGTGTTTATTGCAGAAACAGTTGCTGTGTGTCTCAGTTCCCAGTGCGCCGTTATAATCACCACAAATCTTTATTCATGGCGCCCGCTCTGTGGCTCTGTCTGTCAGCAGCTTGTAAATTAACGACACGCATTCCCAATTTTGTGGCTAAACAGGAAGGCACAAAAAAAACGAAATCTCTCTCTCTCGCTCCCCCCCTTTCGCCCCCAAACCTCCCCCTGAGCCAGCCACTTGATCCATTTGGCATTGTGTGTATGTTTGGATGCTTATTAAAGAGAGAAGGCGTGTGTGTGTGTGTGTGTGTGTACACAAGCATGCCTCCAGTGGGGAGGGTAGGGGGAGCTTCTTCACTAGCTGCCCCAGCGGAGGGGCCCTTTTCCCTGGGCTGACATTTGGACCGGACACCTGGAGGCATAGAGGGGGGTGGCAAGAGTTCCCACTGTGTGTGAGTGTGTGTGAGTGTGTTTATGGGGTGAGGGTCGGATTGCTGGAAGCTGATTAGTTTGCAGGGGGCTATTGGCTCGTGATTTGGGGCATATGTGTGTGACCGAGCGCGTGCATGCATGGACCTGGGGGTTGGATGCTAAAAGAGAGAGTGTGTGTGTTTTTGTGTTTGTGTGCACGCGCATGCGCACGCTGTGCCACATCAGGGTGGCAAGCTGCTTTAACACAACATGAGGGTGCAGGGAGTCACAGCTGTGCACAGGTCAAAATTGTGTGTTGGCTTTTTATTTGATTAAAAAAACAACAATGCGGACTGTCCCGATGACTAATATGTTTAACATTTCAGAACTCAAAGAAGTGTCCAGTTGTTTTTAAACAGGCAGTCATATCTTACCCTCTGTCCCTTTTCTCTTCCTCCGCCAGCGGAAACGCACAACCTCCAGTCGCTCCACACCATCCTGTCGACCGGGTCTCCTCTCAAACCTCTGAGCTACGACTACGTCTACCGCTGCATCAAGAGCAACGTGCTGCTGGGCTCCATCTCAGGTGACCGACGCTGACTGTCATTATTCTCAAAGAATTGAGATGTAGGGGTCCAAACGGCAGCAGCAGCTTTTTTCCCCCAATGCTGTTGGTTTGTAGCAGATGAACAATGGCGGCTACACACAAAAAGGCAAAATAAAGCAGCAAGGCTTCTGCGACACAAAAGGGACTGACGGATACAAAGAAAATTCAAAACAAAATAAATTGCTTAGAACTGTACATATTCCTCACTGCCCACAATGCCACTACACACACACACACACACACACACACACACACACACACACACGCAGACCCTCTAAGCCCATTGTAATGTTGACAGGACAGCAGAATGCTATCTGTCTCTCTGCGAGTCCTGAAACGTTTAACATTTAGCACAGCTCGGGTGACGGACGTATTCTGGGGATGCACACAGACACACGCACACACACACATACACACAAACACAATGAGTTGCAGCTTCGAGCGTCCCAAATGCACGCACTAACAGCAGCTGGGCACCACGCACACACTGTGAGTGACAGCCATGGTGGGTAAAGCACGCACAGCAGCAAACGCACACTGACACACACCGTGATATGGAGGCAGAAGAACAGTTCTCAATGGCATCGACTGAAATGTCAACGACGAGGCGGATCAGTGTGCTGAGTGGGTCATTTATTTCCCTCTACGTATTTGTCTTTGTGTCCGTCATCTTGTTTTCAGATGTCTCCACCTGTCTCTGCACAGTGTCGTTGACATTAACGCAGGTTGGTTGTTGACATTGATCACAAACTAAAATTGAGACCCGGCCTGTAATTACTTTCATAAGGATCCTTTTAAAGTTTAGTCTCTTTGGTATTAAGAGACTAGATCTGTCTGCCTCCATGTGTTTATTTCTCCGTCAGTTTCCTCCTTGTCGCCAAGGGCAACAGCCAGGTTCCAACTCTGTTGGCTGCCAAACGACCCGACCTTGTCCACCGAGGTCAAAATGCACTCTGTGTGTGTGTGTGTGTGTGTGTGTGGGGGGGGGGTTCACAGCATATGGGACTGACTGGTGGTCGCGGTGGCATATGTCATAGGCCCCTTTGCTGATTTCACCATGTGTGACCCGTGGTGTGTGTGTGTTTGTGTGTACAGTTTTATACACCTTATTAGTTATCTTGGTTTTATGTAGGCTGTGTGTGTGTGTGTGTGTGTGTGTGTGTGTGTGTGTGTGTGTGTTTTCCTGTCAGCAGGGATGTCAGACCCCTGTTGTGCCGCATTGGGGGACTTTAACACTTTCCCTGCTGGATTTCCTCCATCCTAATATACCTCCGTCTGAGAGCCCATATGTCACTCCTCTCTCCTCTTTGCTTCTCCTCAATGAAGGAAAAGTTGTTTTTAATTGATGCTCTGGGGTTGAGTTGTGTGTCTGCACAAATACCGAATTTGTGTTTGGGAAGTCTTGTGACTTTCATTGTGTCACTTCAAGAATTCCCTTTTTGAATTTATAAATCAATGTGTCTGTTAACGGGATGTTTTTTTCTGTCTGGAGGGGGGGGGGGGGCTTTGTGTGACCCCCAAACTGTTCTGTAGTCCCACCCACAAAAACGAAAGCAGACATGCACACACATGCACACCAATTTATAGAAGGTGTACAAGGTGGGAGGTTCAGAAACTCTTTTTCCTGCTCGTTCAGTTCTGTTCGACACATGAGATCAGTGTGACATCCTCTTGTCTATGCACACACTATATACACACACACACACACACACACACACTCACACTAAATGGCGGATGATGGAAGGCTGAAGAAAGCTTCACTGGCTTTCGGCTTAAAATATACTTGTGTATGTGTGTGGCAACCCACCCATTAAAATGAGCGCAATAATAAATAATAATTGCATGTCTTCCCAATTTAAGTTTCACTTCCTCCTGGGAGCCAATTAAAAGAGAGAAAGAGACGGACCGAAGGAGGGGCAAAGGATTGCGAGGGTAAAGAGGAGTACGAGAGTGGGAAAGAGTGGTAGAAGGGCAGAGAGCAGTTGGGAGGAAGCAAACAAGATGGATGGATGCGGCGAGACGATACAGAGAGGGAACGAAACGGGGAGGTCGGGTTGAGCAATCGGAGGGGAGATGAATAGAACGTGTCAGAAAGAGTAGATTATTGGAACGGGGAAAGGGGGAAATGGATGGTGCGCCAGAGGAAGAGAGCGGGTGTGTGAGCTGCTGCTGCTGCAACAGTGCAGAACCCGTATATAGGTCACTGGAGGTGGAGTAGAGCACCGGCAGTTTGTGTTGTCTTCATGGCTGATTGATACCAAAAGAGTTTGGTCAAGTTTGAGGTGGGCGGGGGCTTCAGGTAGCTACTCCATTCCACAAGTTGATAAACAATTTATTTCTTTGGAAGTAAATTCTTTAATACTTCCAATTTTTATTACACTCCGATTCACCTTTTTCACCGAATCACCCCACAGCCAACGTTCTACGTATGATAATACGGGGAGATGAAATCCAGCATTCTGATTGGTTGAGGGTGAGTCACAGGGTATTGAGCCATAATGTACGGGGACTGTTTACATTGACCCGAGCGTTCCATATCAGTGGCTAATCATCAACACACTTCTGGTGCTAGGCTAACAAACGTGATGTTGCTGCCTGTCTGTTGCATAGCAACAGCCACACCTACAGGGGGCTGTTTTTGCTAGGCTACTGAAATGCGATACACAACGTTTGGAGGCTACAACTATTTTATGTTGAAAGGCGGCTTACGCTTAACTTTTACCTATTAACTATTTTTTTAACTATTGATAATGTCGCTGGCAGCCATATTAGAAGAACTGTTTGACGACGCCCTCGAACTGTAACAGTATTGACGATACGCTACACCCTCTCGTACCGTATTGCTTAATGATATTAGTGTGTGTTGTAATATTGCTGATATATTAATGAAAATGAATATATAAACTAATTTGCCAAACACTTGCTTGTTAAACTGTGCTACATTTCTTTCATCCACTAATTGAAGGGCCGGTGGCTCTGTGGAACTAATTGTAATCCAGCCTTTCTACAATACACGTAGAATTGTGTTGTTTCACCGGCCAGTTGTTTACTTTATGTGCAGTTGAAGTAGCTTAGATGAGATGTCAGAGTGGCCAACCTTCTCCACCAGCACCACCAGCACCACCGCGGCCTTTAGATCCCAAACAATCAGCTAGAAGAGCTCAGAGAGCTTTGCAAAGGTGGAGAGTTCTCTGCCAGGGGCATGTTTCATTTCAGACTATCAAGCCACTGAACCCCTCCCTCTGTGTCTGTCGTCCACTCGTCTCTCAGGCGGCACCGACATCGTGTCCTGTTTCATGGGTCAGAACCCAACCGTTCCGGTGTATCGGGGGGAGATCCAAACAAGAAACCTGGGCATTGCTGTGGAAGCCTGGGGCCTCGACGGTAAGAGTGTGCGTATGTGAGTGGCTTATGAAGGGACGTGCTTTTTGTTTTTTCTCTCTCTCTCTCTTCCTCTATTGCGTATCCTGCAGTGTGACAACAGAGCGCGAGGATCATGTAGAAGTTGTAAGGAGGTTTCTAGATTGAATCCTAGGAGGGACCCAGAACATGTTAATGAGGAAAATGAATCGTAATCGGCCGAGATGCCCTTGTGCAAACCTCCCATCTGCTTCTGGAGCGGCTTTGGCAGCTGACAGACGAATACTGCAGTAATGCCTTGTAGTCCCCATATGTCCATGTACCTGTATGCATTGCTATTGAAGCCAGCCGCTGCTTAAATACAGGGAACAACCCAAGGGAAATGCACTTTTTCCTTTTTAACAATTCAAACCAAAATGAGAGATTTTTATCTTGCTGGGAGTCTTCAAAGTGGCCTGTGTTTTGCTCATTGATTTTCAGTCCCTTGCTCCCCAGCTCCCGATCCCAGCTGCAGGCTGTGCTGCCGCCTCTCCATCGCCTCAAAGGGGAGCGGATTGAGGGATAATTTAAAGGCAGCTTTGTAGGAAGGGTTTGGGATTATTTTAGTCGCTCTCTAAGCCTCGAACACCTTCCTACGGGAGCAGGTGAGGTCTGTGTGAACCCACACAAGGAAGTCTATATCACGTTCTCCTACAGTGGGATCCCTCACCAGCTGATTTTCTTTTCTTTTTTTTGATTTGCTTTCTCGGAGAATGTGTGCGTCAAAGAGGGTGTGTGTGTGTGTGTGTGTGTGTGTGTTTTTCCGAAGCCACTAACTGTATTTGTTGTGCTGAAATGTGTGTTGACAGGTAAGCCCGTGTGGGGAGAGAGCGGCGAGCTCGTCTGCTTGAAGCCGATCCCCTGCCAGCCAACGCACTTCTGGAACGACGACAACGGGAGCAAATACCACAAAGCCTACTTTTCTGCATATCCTGGTTGGCACAGCAACAACTTATCGCACTGCAAACGGACTTTCTGTGTACACGCGTACCAGGAATCCTGAGCATCTTGGATATTATTAGAATTAATACAATTCTTTGTCTTTTCTCAGCATGCAAAGTATTTCGTCTTTTTAACAGCTTTGTGTCTTTCCATTGGCCTGGTTCCTTCCCTGTAGGGGTGTGGGCTCACGGGGATTACTGCAAAATCAACCCAAAGACGGGAGGCGTCGTCATGCTGGGCAGAAGGTCAGCGCTTCACTTTCTTACGAGAGCTGCTGAGTTCTGACATGAAGAAAATATCGTGTCACCGTAGTTTTGTATTCATTCACTTATTTACACAGGGCGCCGTTTGTGCCGTAGGAGCCCGTAAAGCACTAAACGACTTGGCTCTGAAAGCTTTTGTTGGTCTGCACTGGCTCTTAAAGGTGCAGTTTGCAGCAGTTCGGAGGGATCAGAAATGAAAAATAGTATCCAGTGTGCTTTCGCTTTACAATGAGCTGTTCATAGCACAGAGCTGGGCGCCATGTTTCTGCAGTAGCCTGCAGCTGACCAGGACCCAGACAGACTTTTTGTGTCAATGACGGAACCCAGAGTTTTGGATCTTGAACTTGAACTTGTGTTTGTTCTGCAGTGACGGCACGCTGAACCCCAACGGAGTGCGATTTGGCAGCTCAGAGATCTACAACATCGGTGAGTACAGGTAGACGTGCGGGGAAGGAAAGGAAATGGCCTTTCACATCCAGAGAGGGTCCTCTTTATGGCGGTGACACAACCCCCATTTCTATGTTTGGTTCACTTTTTATTATTTGTTAGTAAAAGCCGGACTTCTTCTCACTGTTGGCTAAATGAATATGGATCTTTGCTCCTCCCCCGGCCCCTCGTTTGCCTTCATCCTCTCGGTTTGGCTTTCCTCTCCTCGTTGCAGTGGAGGCGTTTGAGGAGGTGACGGACAGCCTCTGCGTGCCCCAGTACAACGCCGACGGAGAAGAGCGAGTCATTTTGTTCCTGAAGATGGCACCTGGCAGCCCGTTCCATTCGGACTTGGTTGCCAAGATAAAAGGAGCCATTCGGAAAGCGCTGTCGGCCAAACACATCCCCGCTCTGCTGCTGGAGACCAGAGACATTCCAGTAAGACAAATACGAATACACCCGGTCAGATTGTTGGTTGGTTGTGGCTTGAAGGACGGCCCTCATGTCTTCATCTCCCCCCCCTGCAGTACACCATCAGCGGCAAGAAGGTGGAGGTGGCTGTGAAGCAGGTGATTGCCGGACGGGAGGTGGCGCAGAGAGGTGCCTTCTCCAACCCCGACTCGCTGGATCTCTACAAGAACATTCCCGAACTGCAGAACTATTAGAGACGAGGCGTCGCCCAGCTGGACGACACCCGCGAAGGAGAGACCACCGGACCAGGATTCCACTTCATTCAAATTCACAGCAGCAGGGAGATAGTTTACAAAAGGCCCTCCGGCTTCCCACGTGGTATAAGGAGAGAAAATAATGGTACAAATAATACGTCTGAACGCGAGCTGTGCTGCCGCTCTTCTGACGTCGTGCAGGTAAACGTGTGGTGCTGTGGGTGTAATTCCGTGCACACGCCACCATCCGTGCGGAAGCTCGTGCTCCGAAGCCGCCAAATAATAGAGCGTTGTAATTTATGGTCGCTTAGCTTTGCCTTCGCGTGGTGGTGGTGGTGGTGGTGGCGGCGCTCGGCCAGCGAGGAGCCGTATCTCTCTCTGCTTCACCTGCTTTAACCCCACTGATGGTTCTGACCGGGTCCCAGCCGGGCAACACCTCAGCTTTAGCTCATACCACCATGTCATTGTAATGTGGTGCATATTGCTTTAACAAATGTGTATGTATATGAATATATATATATTGGCCCGTGATATAATGATAAAATTATCATTGTTCTTTAGAAGATAGTGACCCAGACCTGTTGACCAAAGTAGGTGTCCGGAGTCAGAGGGTCACGTCGCCTCAGAATTGTAGTTTGAATCTATAAACTAGGGGTTTCCGGGTAAAACTAAACCTACTGATCTTTTCTCAAGCTCCAAAGGTTATTGATCTCTGTGCTAATACGTGTTCCAATCCTGTCAGTGATTTGACTCTGTAACAATTGAATCTTGTTTCATTCCGCCTTAAGACATAACGGCGTGGATGGATGAAATCACATTGGCCCTCGTTTGTAAAGGTCAGGTCAGCCAAGGTCATGTGCGATCTGAAAGTGAGCAAAGGTTTATTTCACCACAAAAGCCTGTATTTACTCGTCCCGTCGCTCTGTTGCATGTCTGTCAAAACTGAGAACTGTGTTTTCCTGATAACTACGGTGCAGCCTGTTTTTGCTTTGTAGAAGGGAAAGCTGCATTATTTATACAAGGGAGCCTGATGCTTGTGGCAAAGCCTAAAGTTGGACTCGTGCTATTAAAGTTGAACTGTAGTGGTTCGGGTCACAAGGAGCCCAACAATAACGAAAATAACCTTTCATTTCCCAACAGGAAATTTTGTTTAATTTCCTGTTGGGAGCCTTTGATCTTTGGGGGGAAAAGGAAGCTTGAGGAAGCATTTTATATTGACACAGGGAAACGTATTTCTAACTGGACGGGCTTTTTTTTCAGTCTTGTTGACTTATTTTGATACGTATAAAGGTATGAATGTGAAATGCAGTTCATCTTTAATATTATTTTCACAGATTTAATTAATGTCCTTTTCAAAGGTTTTCACCAATAGCAGCTTGGGATACATATTCCTTCAAATGGTGTCACACTATTGTACTGATTGGCAGTAATTTAAATCAGCTCAACTAATGCTGAGAGATTATTTTTTCTACAGACTTCTGTATGCATAAACTGTTGCTTTGGGTAAGAAGACTAAGAGGGCTGCTTTTTTTTTTTTTTTTTTTTAAATGATGCAAAGGCTCTTTCTGATGGAGAAAATGACCATATTGTCCATCCAGCACTTTAGTACTGTCTACTGTACGAGGTCATAATGAATTCTGGGTAAAATGGCAAACGTACTCTTTAGTTCTGCGGTGCGCATGCAGCTCAGGCCGCGCAAACATAATGCTGCGTGTGTCGCATGTAAATAACGTTGTTGTGTTTGCTTCCTTTCTGTGTGCATTTAAGGAATCTATAATGTCATTTTTACTGTTTTTGGTGTTGCGATAAAGTCTTGAGTCCGACGTGACGCGTCTCCCTCTGCTGTCCGTTATTTGCTCTCTTCCACGTCACCGCGAGAAGGCGGCGTGTCAGGGGAGATTGTGCCGCATGCACGCGGTGCGTTTCCCCCGGCCGCCTGCTGTCAGCGACGCAATGAAGTAAAGCCAGTCTGAGAGCAAAAGCTCAAACAAACAGTTCCGTGTTCCAGAGCTTCAGCCTTTAATTCTCGCTGCAGATTCACACCGTGTGAACCCTCATTGTTTCCCCCCCCCCCCCCCCCCCATAAACCGGGCTTCCTTGGTACAGGCCAAAAAGCGGCTCAACTTCGTTTAGCTGGAATCATGCATAATAATCTGACACAACACCCCCCCCCCCACCCCGAAAGGTACACATTGACGTGGTATTAGTCAATTGTTTGTGTGTGATGTGTGGGGGTGTGTGCGCGCGCGCATGGAAGCCAATCACTCTGACAGACACTTCTACTCTGAGAATAAACTTGGCATTTTCAATGGCTCCCTGTAACATCGAGAGGTGTGAACGCTCAGACCTGACGGTCACCCCAACTTCCACGCGTAAACGTGTGGAAAATGTTAAAATAGAAAGAAAAAAAAACTATTGGTTGAGGTCCAGCTCCTCCGCGTGAAAAGTCTCACTCATCTCGCGTGTGCGAGTATTTTGATTTATTCCCACCTTCAGTCACAAGTATGAGGAACGTGTATCGTTGGCGTGCTGTCAGTTTGCAGAGGAGAAATGAGAGGCGGCGGGCAGGAATTGCAGGAATGTTGTCAAATGGAAAGCTGACGTGTTTACCAAATTCACAAAGTGGAACCATCTGACGACCCTGAACGGTGAGCGCCGTGCAGAGATGCTGTCTGCGGTTGTGCGATTCCTCCCAGCAGTCTCGTAACGGAACACATCACAAAGCGACTCCGATAATGGCTCAGTTGAATTTACAGGTGTCGACGGTTAATTCCCTCTCGCCGCAATCTACGTGAAACGGAAATTGAAACCGCACGGAATAATATTGTGTTTAAACTTCTGTGTGTTTCCCTTCCATGCTGAGGAAAAGTCAATGCACCGACCGGCCGGCCCGGTTGGAAGGTGATGCAACAGGTGGATTCATGCAGTCAGGTGTCCGTTATCCAATTACAAACGCGGTGCCAGTGAAAGCGGGCAAATCCATAATGAATTGCATCAAGTCTTTCTGAGGCTTTGATGCTTTGTTGTTGGCTGATTGAAGCCAGTGAGGAAGAGCTTTGCACCGTCAGTCTTTCTGCACATTCGATAAATATGTCAGTAAAGATTATAGACACAACTTTATTGTCTCAATTGTTTGTCACTTGTTCTCTTTAATTCAGTTGATGATATTCAGTTATTAGATTATGGTACCATTTAAAATAGATCTCCAAATTTCTGCTTTTATCAATTGATGCGATTGGATTGATTTCTTTGGTTAACAGTTATTTGTTTTGGATTCCTCGAAAGATGTCTTCCAATAGGCTCATGCAGTGGTTTCCAAACTGGGGGTTGCGACCCCTTTGGGAGGGCGCGGCGGGCAGACGGGGGGGTCGCGGCTTCATCGCAGGGTTCATCCGTGGTTGTAGGATGACGGTTCCCCAAAAAATTGGTTATTTCCCATTTCTAGTGTAAAGCAAATACGAATCAGCATGTCTCACTTGGAAAAGTTGGAAACCCTCCGACGTGAGAGGGAAGGAGGATGTATTGCTTCTGCTCACCCCTCCCTGTCACCCCCATAGGAGGCTTGTTACCTCTAAATTGGTTCCCGGAGAGACTTTCTCCTGAAAGGTTGATCATAACATTAATCGAGAGCTGGCGTGTGATTTACCTCTTCTGCTCAGCGAACTTAAAAAGGAGATAAAGTGCTTCACCCGCTCGCTGTCATATTTCAAACTTGGGAAGTAAAAGAGTCCAGTGTTTCAGTCCGATCAGCATCGCCTCGGGGGAGACGGGCAGACGGGGAGAGCTTTGTTAATTTCACCGACTCTCCCTGCGATCCATCAGGGAATCCACTGCAGGGGTCGACCGCCGGAGGAAAGGAACCTCTCCGGAGTCGCGGCACGTTGGATTTAAGGCAGCTCGCGGCGCCTTGCGGACCACGTTTCCTTCCACTGTCGCTGCCCATTAGTCAACAAGTCTCTGCCGACTCTTGATTTATTGGATGGATCCGTGAAATGTCATGTCCTCCTCGGGAGTCTCCTTCATGTCTGTCGTTATCTCTGATTTAATTCAAGCGAGATGTAATGATGTTCTAGATCTTTATTTTTTAACTAGCAAATGTTGGCGTGCCAACAGGAAAATAAAGATGAGGACACCATTAACAGAATATCTGCTAAGATCATGAGCTTGTTAGCATCGTCGGTGCGTTAGCACATGTTAGCATGCTGATATTATCGTCTGGCTCAAAGCACTCAAAGACTGTAGAGTTTTAGTATTTAGAGTATTTTTACATTTATTAGTATTTCCCGATTATGGCTTCTATCTATTGGCTCCCTGTTCGTTCTGGAATTGATTTTTAAGATTTTTACTGATCCTCTCGAGTCTTGCTTTTGACAAAAACAGTACAAAGTGCTTTGTGTATCAAAGCCTTTTATATTATTAGCATTATTAGCATCAGTAAGATGATTAACATAACATTTTGTTTTCATGACTCGATGGGGTGCAGTGGGGGATTCAAATGGTCTCAATGCTCTTTGGATTTTTTAAATTCTCAACAGATTTGACTTGAAAAGATGTTCGTCCAAGTTGATTTATGGCAACCTGCGCCGTCGTTTCTGTTTGGTCACGCCGGCTGTGTAAAGGTCTCCGACCTCAAACTGTTCAAAAGCCGACCTAACGGATGGGTTTTGTACAGCAGAGCTCCCAGATGTAAACAAGTGTGACAAAGTGTGTGAGGAAACTGAGAGTCGAGCCTGATAAAGAGGTCAGACTCCTCTTAATACATCAATGCTGTCGGTGCCACATCCGTTTGTTCAGAATGTCAAAATATAAAGTAAAAAATAAATAAGAGGGGACAAAGAACCTTGAGGGTAATCACATTTTTCTCCAAGGCAGAGGATTCCCCAATACGGCTCAACACTAATCTGTCAACATGTTGCTATCAATGAGGGAAAATCTGGATTCTTTCATTTTAATTTAGAAGGACATTTCCAGGCATCTGAACAATAACATGATCTCACTGTCACCTGAATGTGACGGAGAAAAATCCGATTTAAAGTTCAAACCTTCATCACATCCCCATAAGGGCTCTCGAGCGAACGCTGTCAGACTTCCCCGATGCTTCAATGGAGTTTTCAAGAGTTTCCGTCGAGCTCTCAGAAGATGCGACAAGGTGAAGAAGCTTGCATCACTTTCAGATGTTCCAGCTGCATGTGGAACGGTGGTATTATTCTGGGATTTGTGCAGTTCTTCTGTGTCCCTTTTAATACCACCCACTCCACACTTACTGTTGCAAATTACCTGATGCTCTGATGTAAAACACAAGTCACATTTGAACTTGGTTACCGGTTTGAAACTGAACTTTTGTTTGCATCAGTTTGACCTATTTCCTGAACTGAAACAACCTTAAGCAATTTGTTCCATTAAAGAAATGATGGTCAGTGAATAATATAAAGAAAGCTACAATTATAATTTGATGATTCTTGATCTTCCTGATGATTCTCATCACCTCTGTCTTTAGGTGTCTTTCGGAGTTGATATGAATCTGGATTTAAATTGTGTTTCAGCATCTTGTTTAAAGTCAATTTGCATTTGTTCAAACCTAATGTTGATTGGTTGTATTAATACATCTTCTCACGGTACAACTACACAACACACAGCACGTATTATTTGTGGGGTTGATTTGGACCATATACAGGATAGTTGAATAATGGAAATGACGCCTAAGTTGAGAAGAACTTGCACCACCAACCGATCTTCTCCCCTCCAGCATCACTTTTTCAAGCACAACTTCAATTCCTCGGTAAAACCAAGCTTTTCTTTATTTACGTAATGAAAACGAATTGGATAAAGTTCATTAAGTAATAAAATAAAAACTAGCTTGATCTTCATAAGAAGATGGTGCAAAAAAAGGACCATCATCATTTTGAAGTAGATCAAGCAGGATATTTTCGTCGCTGTATCAAACCGCTGCAGACAGGTGAGGCAAGATGGCGCAGCGGAGAGACGAAAAGGCGAACCGACAAAAGGGAAGGTGAAGGGAGAGAAATGAGAACGAGATGAATCTGAATGAGATGAATCTGAATTTGAAGTCACAAATATGAGCCAGATGGGCTGAACGCCACGAGCATTTTGATTTTTCTCCAATTCCACCCGTCAATCTCCTCGGTCTTTTTTTCTGTTTTTGGGGGGGTTTTGTTAACCGTAGGTGGCTCCCTGCTTTGTTGAGACAACCCATGTTCACTCCTTCACAGTCACAGCTTGATTTATGTTATTTGAGTATGCTGCGTGTGTGTGTGTGTGTGTATGTTTGTGTGGCTTCTGAAGACGTCGTTGACTTTCTAAGTGTGTCAGCTTAACTCCCCCCAAAAAATACTGGCTCTCACAAGTGACAACGGAATCTCAGCGTGAGCGTAACGCGACAGATGTATGTATGTGTGTGTGTGTTCAACGAGGTCGAAGTTCCGTTTTCTTTCTCTCATGTTGGGATTGATGAAAAACAAAATTATTTCTAGGTGAGATGCATTTTGGCAGCGTCAGTTATTGCAAAAGCACCTTCAAACTTCTATCAGTTTGTGTTTGTATCAAACAACGGTTTGCATTTTGTGCAAAGAAAGAAAAATGCTCGCTCTGCCTTCTGTAGGATTCATTTAAACTAGGGCTGTCGACATAAACGCGTATTCATCTATGCGATTAGATGTGGCCGAGATTAATGCAAAATATTTTAACGTAGTTAATGTACGTTTGTTTACTTCCGGGAATTACTCCACGTGCCAAACAGAAGGGGGGTGAGTGGCAAACGGTCCACTTAAAGCAGGCTAAGCTAGCTGCTAGGCTACATCTCAACATCTA